ATCTTTGGAAAAATTCTATTATCTTTCACTAACTTTTTGAAGCCCTTTCATATATGTGTGTGTGTGTGTGTGTGTGTGTGTGTGTACATACATACATACACACATATGGTTTAGTTTATTTAGAAATCAGAACAGTAACATATTTCTATCCTTTTTTAGGTTTTTATATTTATATTGATTTGTATACCCACGCTTCTTTTTAAAAAAATACTCTAATATCCTTGGACATACAAGGCCACATGGTACAGAAGCTAATAAGTTTTGACATTTAGCTGGACAGCTATTTTAAACAGCAATAGGAAATTAACTAGCAGACTGCATTTAAATTTTTTTTCCTCTACTTTCAAAGACAAGAAACCTATGTAGCCTTTTAGAAAAGTGAATATCACTTCGTTTTGAAATTTCCTCAGTCTTTGATCTGTTGTTGTAGTTGTTAGGTGCCATTGAGTCAGCACTGACTCATAGAAACCCTGTGCACGACAGAATGAAACATTGCCTGGTACTGAGCCAACCTCACAATTGTTGTTACATTTGAGCCCATTGCTACTGCCACTGTGCCAGTCTATCTAGTTTGGGGTCTTCTTTTTCTCCAACCCTCCACTTTTTTTACAGCTGTTTCTCTTAATTTTGAACTGTGCCCCATCAACAAATGAAGGTTCCAAAGGCTTTATTCCATTTGCATTGTCATGGTCAACTCTACTTTGAGGAGGCAGCTATTCCCTGGTCATATAATGAGTGCCTTCCAACCTGAATGGCTCATGTTCTGGTACTATATCTGGCTATATTCTGGTGCTATGCAGCATGTTTCAATATTCTGGCACTATCTAACAATGTTCCACTGCTATTTATAAGGTTTTCAGTGACTAAATATTCAGAAGTAATTTGCCTCTTCTTTTTACTAGTCTGTCTTCATTTGGAAGCTCATCTGAAACCTGGCCACCTTGGGTGACACTGATAGTATTGGAAACACTGGTAGCATAGCTCCCAGATCATAGTAACATGCAAACCACCACAGTATAACAAACTGACAGACAAGTGGTGGGTCTTTGTTCTATAAAAATGTAAAACTAAGACTCTTCCTGATTCATGTCACCATATTAAGAAATGAAATATTCATGACCATCATCATTGTGTGGCTCTGTATTTGCAGCACTCTGTTACTCATGTGGCAGGCAGCTGGTTCTGAGGCAAGCGTGGCCCCTCATGTGCTGAAGACGCTCTTGCTGATACTGAAAGGAAAACCTGGGGAGACGCAAGACAGCTCAATGGGAAGAAGACGTCCCTCTCTGGAAGCTGCTAACATGATGCCTGTCGCAGTAAATAACATGATGACTACTTTATTTTTTACATAGTAGTCTTCTTATCATGAAAGTCCTGTCTACAGAGTCATTCATATTTCCTTGGACCAGTCCTTTTCATCCCATTCATCCAATAGATATTTATTGAGGGCCCACTATGTGTCAGGGTTTGATCATGGGGCTTACATTCTGGTGAGAGACATAGACAATCAATCTGTAATTTGTTGGATGGTGAAAAGCTTAGAAGAAATATAAAATGGTGTGGGAGAAAGAGAGTAACAGGGAAACATGAGGTAAGTTGGCCAGGGCAGGTCTCTCTGATGAAGTAAGGGAGTGATCCATGAAGATATCTGAGCCAGAACTTTCTGGACAGAGAGAAGGGCAGCATTCCTGCACTGAATGGAAGATCAAATGGTATGATGAATGCAAGGAGGTCAAAAAATCTGGAGTCAGTTAAGAAGGGACAAAAACCTAGAAGATGGTTTCTTCTAGAGTTTTGTAGGCATGTGAATACCTATTCTCATTTTTATTCATCATAATGTATCTCCCAAGGGTCAAGATCATCATTCATTGGCATAAATTCAGCTCTTACCAAGATAAATAGAAAAAAGAGAAAAAATGATGGAACTCCATAAATGGAAGGTGTTGGGGTGTGGTGGGTACTGCTGTAGTCAGTGGGCAGAGTATCAGTTCGTAATCTGGCCTGCCTCCCCTTCAATATCTCATTATCCTGTATTGTCTTTAGTACAGAGTAGACCTAGATCGTTATCAAGACTAAGTCTTCACGATAGAGTCTTTGGGTGATACAAGCAGTTGACATGCTCAGCTGCTAAGCAAAAGGCTGGACATTCAGATCTACCCAGAATCACCTCTGAATAAATGGCTGGCAATCTACTCCTGAAAAGCCAGCCATTGAAAACTCTATGGTGCATAGCTCTCTTCTGATAATATAGGATCACCATGTATCAGAATCAATTCAAGGGCAAATGGCTACTGCTCTTAGCTTTGATGGCTACATATGAAGGGAACCTTGGGATACATGCACTCCATGGGAGCTCAACAACATTTGCAGCTTGTTTTCTGCAGATTTGATGTCCTAGGGTTGTTGATAGTGCTTTGCAACCCTTGCCATCAATGACTTGACAGTTCTTGGTTCAAACTTGACTTAATAAATTTGAGTATTATTGAATTAATTAATTATTCCTCTTAGTTGGATGTGGAGTGTTCTGAGTTCTCTACTTCTTCCCTTCAATAAGGCTGACTGAGTTTAGAGAGAGATGGGAACAGAGAATTTCAAAGTCAACATTTTTAATTTCTCTTTTCTTTCCTTATAGGCTTCCCAGGCCCTGTGCATGTTACTGCCTGTTAGTTCTTACAAGAAAGCAGTGGCCCAGCTATTCCCTCAGCTCTTGATGGCCCTCATGCTTCAAGTCTATTACAGCAGTGACCTGAGACTGACCAAGAATGGCAGGCCTTTGTGAGATAGTAGTGGTTGTATCAGAGTGAATACGGAAGAGATAAACTTCTAGTTATCAACAATTTCCACTACTCAGAGTTCATGTGGGACTCTATAATCCTATGTGTATTACATTAATACATCACTATTTTCTCTACTCTCAATGGTAAAATGACTTCAGAAAAGTAACTATGCTGAGTACCTAGATGTTAGCTAGGATCTTACACACTACTTAGTGTAAGAAGAACCACTGTACAGAACACTATTCATTCTTGCCACACTCACTGTCAGATCAATGGGAGACCATTGTTGGGAGAGAGAACAGGGAGGAGCATTAGATCCAAAACCAAGTACATTTCAGTTTTGACACTATTCTATAATAGTAACCGCTCATGAGCATTGTATGTTTCAGACAAAACAGTGTGCACTCATGTGCTCTGGATTATAAAGTTGTGTGGAAGGTGCAGCAAAGATTGGATTTATGATAGTATTCAGTCATTCTGCCATAAAGAGTGAAGTAGGGCTCGGAGGTCCTGTCCTTTCCTTTGGCCCAAGTGACTATAGTGGGCTTCTCTGCTCTGCAAAAAATCTAGATACAACTATCTACTGTTGGTCCTTGTCTAGTGTGAACTTCTAAAATGCAGACATATTGTTTTATTTACTCCCTGAACTGCCAAGCAGACATACACCATATCCTTCTAACTACATGAGAATATATCCTATGCTTTTAAGAAATTCAAAATGGAAATCAATAGACATACTCAACAAATCATCCCATCATTTAACATCTTTCTAATCAGCTGTTCAATTATTAACCTTAGATTTTTGCATTCTGCAATTTCAATATAACCCCTTATGCCTCCATTGTCCCACTCCCATGCACCAGGGGGCTTCAAAAAGTTCATGGGAAAATGGAATCAAAAGATAATGAAAATTTTCACAAACTTTCTGAAACTCCCTCGTATTATGTGTTAATCCAGGGAGGTGAACAGTATCTAGAACTCACCTTTGATGAAATATTTCCTTTCTCAAAATCTGCATCCTTCCGAAGATAAAAAAGCAGATCATGTGTATTAAGTTATGTGAGGGCCACTGACAGGTCATGACTTTGTTCTCCTTTGGGACCTTAGCTTTGCCAGAGATGCTCTGAGAACCCTGCTGAAATGTTCTGGATTGCAACAAGTGGACATTATTCTTCAGAAAAATAATTGCTGGAGCCAGTTTTCCCAAGTGCTGTTTCACCACCATGGGGTCTACCTTGTTGCCAAGTAAGAATAGAAGGATCTGCATAGGAGTCTCAGTCTCCACTGCACCTCCTTCATCTTTCTTCAATTAAGCCATGTGGGAAGACAAGCAGCATGCATGCCAACTCCCAAATGACTCAATGAACAGAGTTGCCAGTTGATGTCTACTTCTTCCATGATCTTGAGGGGTTTTTACTTTGGAAAATTCTTTCCTTTCTTTCTTACTTTCTAATGCAAACATGCCATTCCATTCCTCCACAGAATAGGTTTCAGTTTCAGATATGGAGGACCAAAGATTAGTCTATTTTCCCCCTCTGCTCTTAAGTGTCCTGCAAAAAATTATCGCTGTATTATAAAGCGGTGTGCTTTAAAGAGGTCCAATAAAAACCTGAGTTCAATGATCCAAATGAATTTAAGAAAGCATAATGGAAAAGGATTTTTAATTTATTTGTATTCGAAAGGAGGCTTTTCTGATTAGCCCTTCATTGAATAACAAGCTCCTGATTACAGGAATCAGATTTCTGATAAAGAATCAAGGTGCATGACTCTGACAATATGAGAGCCCATTTAAAGTTGTAACCAACCCAGAAAGGACAGTCTATATGGTCTCTGTATTCCCGATGCTTTCCAGAATGCATTTGATTTGCACAGGCATTTTAGAAATGCACCTTATTGTGCAAAACTGGAGCACATCTGCCAGACATTTAGAGACATACCTTGCTGTGCTAAGCTGGAGTGCACTGGCACCCAAAACTGGTCACTAGTTAACAGTCATTCTATCATTAGTAGCTTTGGATTTTTCTCTAACTCCAAGTGTAGTCCACAAAGCAGCAGCAACAGCAGCTTCTGGGAGCCTGTTAAAAATACAAAAAATCAGTCCCTACCCCAGACTACTGATTCAGAATGTGATTTTTTTCAAGATATCCAAAGGATTTTTAGGAACAGTAAAATTTGAGAAGCACTGGGTTATAGTACCAACCTGGAGTCTTACAATGGAAATTTGGTCACCTTATCCTTATCAAACTGATTCCGGGTGGTCAGGGTATCCAGAAAGTTGTGAACCTGGTCTCAGGCCAATGTGTAATGGAGAGTGGTTTCGTGAATCAGAACTCATCCACTCTTCTCCTGAATAACTCAGAGTAGTTCCAACATTTCCAGGTCTTCTTCATTATATCATTCAAAGAAAGACTTCCTCAAAAACCACAAAGGTGACCTGCACACTCATCTGAAACTGAACACTATGTATTTATGGTCTCTTATTTGAGGAGTAATCATTGGGAGGCTACAATAAAGCATGGTTTGAACCATCAGGTCAGTGGTTCAAATTCATCACGCACTCCTTGAAAACCCTATACAAGGTTGCTATGAGTTGGAACTGACACAATAGTTAACAATAACATTCTGTGGCTATAGATGCAAGCAACAGTAAAGTGGAGTGACATTAAGAACAGAAATAACATAAAGGATCCAAGTATATGTAATTTTCTATTGTCTGTGTAGGAATCAAACTGGGGCTACAGTTTGTCCTGGGTTAAGGAATATTTTTCTTTGTATCTGGGTGGAGCAAGAGATAAAGATGATGTTTCTTTACTGTTAGAATCTGCTGAGGTAGAATCTATTTTCTTCTTTGCTAACTCAGCACCTTCTCCTTTACAGAGCTCTCAGTGACTATAACTTTCCACAGTTTCCAGAAACCTTGCATTACCTCTACAAGCTCTCGGTAGAAGATCCTAGAAGGTCGGAAGACAGTATTATCACAGCAATATTCCTCACTGAAGTGAGTTTTATTAGGAGATTGAACAACTGTGTTCTCACTCCCTTTGTTTATTCAAATGTAACAGTTTGACCCCTCACCTACCTCTCTAGATACTGGTATGACCAAGAGTTAGGAGTATGACAAATATTTGAAATTGGGAGGGGGAACTGGAGTTAGATCTGAACTATGAAAGGGTTGTCACTTTCATTTGTTTTAAGAGTTGGCTGTTATCTTTTCCTCATTGTTGTTGTTAAGTGCCATCAAGTTGGTTCAGACACACAGTGATCCTGAATAGGGTCTCCAAGGAATGGCTGGTGTGTTTGAGTTGCTGACATTATGATTAGCTGCCCCGTGCTTATCCTACTCTAATAGGGGTATAAATCTTCACTAACACTGTTTTTTAAAAATCATTCCAGTTCACATATTTTTGCATGTTTGTTAAAGTATATCAAAGATGATTCGGTAGGTAATATCTGGGATTTCAGTGATAGTCCAGATCATCTTGGGAAAAAATATCAGATAAATAATTTGATAAGATATGGGACCATACTACCTATGAACATTAGATTATGTATTGTATGCCGTACCAGAGTCAAGCAAGTTGAGAAAGTCCTTTTGTTTAAAAGATGTACAATAAAAAGGTGCTATAAACTGAAATTAAATTAGTCAAATCTAATTTTTATGTAAAAATAATACTGTAGAGCAATACCACAGCACACCAGGCAAAGTGGGTTCAGGACAGAGCTCCAAAACTCTGACTACATAGGTAGGAATATTTTTAAAGTTTGAAGGCTTACAGCTAATGGAACTTGTAGCAGAAATAATGAATCATGTTCTTTTGAATCTGCTGGGCTCAGAGGCCCAGAGCCAACAACTTGGGTGAAACCAAATGGCAAGACCAAGCGGGAGAACAGACCACCACAGAATAATGCCATGGGAACCTTGGAGCAAAGGTGGACAATACACTTTGTCAGTTTTGTTTTGTTCTGATTTTTTTTTTGTGTGTGTGGTATCTGTTCATTGCCCCCCCCCCCATTGTTTACACACTTCCATTCTGGTAACTAGAGGGGGGTGCACATCCCCATCCCACCACTGGTGGGTTCCTCTACCATGCATGTGCACAGACACTCTGAGCCCAAGAGACAGCCCCTGAACTGTTTCTAATGAAAGGCCAGAACAAGGGGTGTGGAGAGGGAAAGAGAGTTTAAAAACAAAACAGGCCAAAAATTAAATTGAATCCTGAGGTGCAGCATAACAACCAATAGGGCATCTTGAAATTTATCAGGCAGTTTGAAGTCAAGAAGCTGAAAGAGGACATTAAAGCCATACTCATATTAGGCCACAGAATTTTTTTTTATATCTTCTCTCCCTTCTCTCCCTTGTCTGAGATTATAGACTACAGTATGCAATCTAGTTTTGTTGTTGTTATTGTTTTGGTGGTTTTTTGTTTTGTTTTGTTTCTTTTGATGTTGCTGTTTTGCTTTTCTATGCTTCCCCTTTTACATTTGGGTGACTTTTTCTTTCCATAAATTACCCAAAAAGATACAGCAACTGCTGCCATAAAGTCAAGCTACAATCACACTCTATAAAACACCAAAATCAAGGCAAGAACCAGTACCAATTGCCATACACCAGGGAGACAGACAGCACCTGTGAAAGTTACTCTGAGTCAAGCAATAAGAAGAGTGAAAAGGGAAGCTCACATCCTGATCACATCTTCCTGGAGGCAATCAGAAAGCATAAAAATACAAAAACACACACTCAATTAAGTATTAAGGCCACAAATAAACATTAAACATCCAAGAAGCAAAATCAGATGTCCATATTAGCACATGGCCAGAAACAAGACAAAATGTCTAAGAAAAATGACCTAGAAGTAGACCTAGATTACATTCTGGGATCTCAGGCCTTGGAAATGCCTGAGAAGGAATACAGAAAAATGATTATAAAATGCTTCAAAGCACTTTACATTGGAGTTGAGAAAATTAGGAAAAGGCCAAGAAAGCGCTACAGGAGCAATCAAATAAGATAGAAACAGCATTAGAAACAATTCAAAACCTAGAGAAAGCAGTCCAAATGATCAATAGTAGAATATCAGAAACAGATAATACACTGAAAGGGCAAAAGCAGAACTAGTGAGCTGGAAGACAAATCTCTCAATACCACTAAGATAGAAGAGCAAACAGGAAAAGGATTTTAAAAAATCTGAAGATGGTCTAAGATTCATGTTAGACAACATGAAGAGGAATAACTTAAGAATTATCGGCATTCCAAAAAATGAAGAATCATACAGTACAGGGAGAAAATAGTTGAAGAACTTCTGGAAGAAAATTTCTCTAGCATCCTGAAAAGTGAAATGATAAACATTGAAGAAGCTCAATGAACCCCAGGAAGGATAGACCCCAAAAGAAAATCATCGAGACATATCATAATCAAGCTCTCCAAAATCAAAGATAAGGAGACAATCCTGAAAGGAGCCAGGGAAAAGAAAAATGTTATATACAAAGGCAAGCAAGTCAGATTAAGCTCAGATCTCTCAGCAGAAACCATGTAAGCAAGACAGCAATGGGAAGACGTATATAAAACCCTGAAAGAAAAAAAAAAAAAACTGTCAACCAAGAATCATTTAGCCAGCAAAGCTATCAATCAAATATGATGGTGTAATCAAAACATTCCAGGATAAACAGAAGCTAAGAGGTTTTACCAAAGCAAACCCTATGCTACAAAACATCCTAAAGGGAGTTCTGTGGACTGAGAACCAACAAGAACAGACAACAACCAGAGATTGACATATGTGGAAGCACCTCCCAGAACTAAATTGACCGAAGGAAGAGTCCACCATATAAATAAGAAAAGAGAAAAGATCCACATGAACATATCAATTGATGCAGAAAAGGTATTTGACAAAATCTATCATCCATTCCCGATAAAAAACACTCAACAAAGTAGGAATTGAAGGGAAATTCCTCAACATAATCAAGAGCATATATATAAAACCAATGGCCTACATTACTCTCAATGGAGAGAAACTGAAAGCCTTCCCTCTATGAACAGGAACCAGAGAAGGATGCCCTTTATCACCACTCCTATTCAATATTGTGCTGGAAATCTTAGCAAGAGCTTTATGGCAAGACAGGGAAATTAAAGGCATCCAAATTGGCAAAGAGGAAGTAAAATTCTCTCTATTTACAGACGATAAGATCCTATACATTGAAAACCCCAAAGACTTAGTAAAAAAAGCTACTAGACCTCATTGGAAGATTCAGCAAAGGGGCAGGATATAAGATCAACATACAAAAATCAGTTGGATTCCTCTATACCAAAAACAACAGCACTGAAAAGGACATTAGGAGAGCAATGCTATTTACAGTAGCCACCCAAAGGATGAAATATCTAGGAATACATTTAACCAGAGAAACAAAGAACTTATACAAAGAAAACTACAAAACACTACTACAAGAAACAAAAAGAAAGTACCATGCTCCTGGAAAGAAAGACTTAACATTGTGAAAATGTCAATACTGCCCAAAGCAATTTACACATTTAATGCAATCACAATCCAGATTCCAATGACATTATTTAAAAAGATGGAAAAAACAGTTACAACCTTTATATGGAAAGCAAAGAGACCCAGGATAAGCAAAGAACTGCTTAAGAAGAAGAAAAAGGTTGGAAATCTCTCACTCCCCAACTTCAAAATTATTACACAGCTACAGTGGTCAAAACAGCTTGGTAAAGGTAAATGTTTTGCAGCAGAAGGATTGCTGTGATTGGCTTTGCAGTCCAGCAGGGAGGGTTCCTGTGACCATCAGGGGATAACAGCGAAGTGCAGGACCCTACCCAGAGAAACATTGACACCAGAGATGGAGGTACAGACGATGATGTGGAGATATGTAGCAGCTGAGAACTTTAGACCCAGAAAGGGAAAGGGGCAGTGTGCTGATGACTGGGGGGCTGGCCTACAGGGTATGCCCTTTGGTTGTTTGATGATGCATGGAGAGGACTGTAACCATGGCAATGAAACAATATACAATATGATGAATATTCTCCCACATAAATGATCACATAATTCACAATAAAATATTATATAAAAAAAATAATCAAGGCAAGCAATCAATTTCCATCAAAACAAACTCCACTCTAAGACTGAAACTCTAATAATAATAATAATAATACTGTAAAAGGTGTTTCTTTACCTAAGGTTTGGGATCTTGCATTTCTTTTAAGCTGATATGATTTAAAACATCATATTCAGCAAAATAGTTAATAAACTATAAAAATATATTCATATAGGGTACCATCTACTTCTAAAGAGTTCTGAAGGATATGTAGATGCAGTTAACTTAGCATTGTAATAACAAATCACAAGTGTTTTCTAGACTTGCTTAATCTACTTGCATCTCTCATTATTTTTTTGTATAACATATTAATTTATTGTGCTGTCATTTAAGTATGTACCAATACTAAACAGCCTAAACGTGACATAAATTAGATCTCCTATAAAGTAATTCAAATGAATTTACAAAGTATATAAAATTTATATTAATTGTGTTAAGGTGACAGATGATAGTTAAACAAACCTAACTGCCTTCACATCATGAATACAGTGCTTGCTGCTGTTGGAGGTTGGCATGCCTGTCCATCCAAGTCCTCACTGATGGTCACATCCTTCCACCACTATCTTTATTTGAAATCTGTGCAATCCACAATTGTGAGGTCACTTGGCCTTTGGTCATACTGTGTACAAAATCTATGTATGAAGGGGCTTCAAAAGTTCATGGAAAATGGAGTTAAAAGATAATGAAATACTTTCATGAACTTTGATTTAGGTCTTATCATTAAGAGACTAGTGCCCATCAATGGAAGAATGGATAAACAAATTTTGGTATCTACACACAACTGAATACTATGCAACCTTGAAGAATAATGATGAATATTCAAAATACATCATAACATGGATTAACCTTGAGGACATTATGCTAACTGAAAGCAGTCAGTCATAAAAAGACTTTGCATGAGCC